AGAACTGACACCAGCTTTCAGCAGCAAATTGCCCCGCTTAAAAGAGGAAAGCAAACTCTAAATCAAAGGGAGACCAAAGAGGAAACAGTATTAAAAGGAGAATGAATCTACCAGCCACCAAAATGAACCCTGTGTGAATTAGCAGAATTGGGCAGTGGGAAAAACATTAAGTATCTCCAAACAGACCTGATTCGGTTGCAAAGATATCACAAAGTTAGCAGCCATTGTTTTCCCCATCTGTGCATGCTGCAATGCTAGGAGGAAGCTAGATCAAAATCGGAGAATTGAGAATGGCTTTTGTGTCATCTAGGAACATAGACAAGCTGGTCCTTTAATAAGCTTCAGGAATGCAGCTAAACCCAGCGAGAAGTATGGAATTTGTTTAGGAAGGCAAAGAAAGGAGTGAAGTAGGGGTATCCCCCTCTCCCTCCCTCCCTCTCCCTCTCTCTCTCCCCCTGGATAAGAAATGCACTCCCACTCTTTCAACTTCTGCCCCACACCTTAAATCAAGAGAGATCAAGAGGAATTCTCACTGACTAACTGATTTAAAACAATTTTAAAAAACCCTAAGACCAAGAAAAACAACCAACCTGTCTCTGAAATCTATACACACAAGGAGAGAGAGAAACGTGATCAATCATCAAAGAGAGAAGGCTGGTTGCCCTAGCCATAAGATCACAGCCCTAAACTGTATTTGATAAAGGCCAGGATGGGGAGAGAGGATGGCCTTTCACAACCTCCATTACCAGGTTCCTACAACAATTGGCTCCTTTTGTGGAAACTGACTTTAAAAAAAATCTCATGGAAGAAATGTTGTCCACATCTGCCAGGAAGCTAAGCCAGACCACCGGGTGATTCCAGGAGACACTTTCTACATAGAACCTCCTAGCTAGGGATGAGTTTTTCTACCAATTCTCCCAAGACTCCTTTGACAGTAAGCAGCTTAGAAGACTGTCCATTTTAGTCACTTGGACTGAAGGCTCACCTATGGGAAGACAGAGCCCACGGGAAGGACGCCCATTAGATTCTAATGAAAAGTCCTTCTTTGACACTTATCAGACTTTCATTTTAAAGGCTGTTGAGAGAGCAATGGCACAAATAGATCCATATGTCAAAGAAAAAGGCAGCAGAACCTCTCATGCGTCTCTTGTCTCTTTGCAAAAGATCACACCATGCAACAGAGTCCCCTCCCCAACCCCAATATGCTAGGAAAGGGGTATCACAACTCCACCACCTCAGGCGGAACTTTTTCCCTTCTCCATTCAGCTGTCATTCATTAAAATAAATACATTCATTACTGAACTAAAATGTAGTTAATCCGGCTTTTCCACTTCCAAAGGGCTCTAAGTGATGGTAAGCTTCTGCAGAGGAATCAGCCCTATGAGATCAAGTTTATTTAGAATCAGAGTGGAAAGGATATTGGATGTTAATATTGCAAAGTGGGATGTGGTAGATTTTTATTTATTTATTGGATTTATATATTATATAGTCTCTTGGTTTTTAAGTTCTGCACCTTAACCGTTATACTGAATTGGCTCTCTGCCACTAGATAGTATCATGATCACAGGTGAGTAGCACATTGATGGTCTTCCATAGATATCATTCCCAATGGTCACGGTTTATAGACTTTGTAGTGGAGCAACAACTCTGGAGGGCCAAGTATTCCCCATTAATAATTAACTGATGAAGTTGGATCTACTTCCTGATCAAACCAACCAGCAAATCCAGTGGTTAAGATAATGGGAGCTGTGGTCCAAGAACATCTGAGGAATGACAGGTTGCCCACCACTTCTGACAGGCGCAGCTTGTATGATAAATGGGCACATCCCAGATGGGTTGGAGTGATGAAGCTAAGGCAGATCTCTCTGCCAGCATATCCCAAAATTGCTGACACAATACTCACGGGTTAGGGCCTTTATCACCCACTAAAAGTCAGCTGCACCTGAGCTCTGTTGCACACTCAATCAGACACCTATATAAATAATCTTTTACAAATGGATACTTCTATCCTATGGAGACTTCACCAATAAGGGTGCAAATGGGTTATCATTGCAGCACAATTCTATGAACCAACAAGTTGGGGAGCATTTGTGTGCATACCCAACTGCACAGAGATATATTGTCTACAGATATACCTAATAATAATGTAACACCATACAATATTAAGGAACTAAAGATCTAGCTAATTTAACAAAAAATACTGGATGTAAGCAGACAAATTATATTAGCATCATCCTCTAACTCCATCTCCTGTAACTTGCAGAGGCAGCCATTACAGCATTAACAATAATGATAACTACAATACCCTAGGAGTATTTAAATACTGGTGTCCCAATACCTTATAGCAAAAAAAGGGGGGTGACTTTTGGGGCAATTAAGTCCCTTCCCCAACTTAGTGGGGTTCATTTCTGAACCGGGCCCTTTCCTGAACCGAAATTGAAGAACAGTAAGTGTGATCAGGACATACAATCCGCAAACACACACAAACACGGAAATTATTGGAAAGATCGTTTTCATTTCTAACTTTCTTGCTAAACATCAGGAGCAGACGGAAACACACACACACACCCCTCTATAAGATCAGCAGCAGACGGAAATAAATACACACAAACAAACACACATACACACACGAGGATATCCCAAAAGCATTTTAAGGCGGTTGCCAATCACAGCAAGCTCTTGCTATAGAAAACGGGCCCTCCACTATGGAGGCGCGGAACATTTTTCTTTTTCTTTCGGTTTCTTTGGACCGGCGGGTCGGCCGCGCAACCTAACAGAAGCCTCCGACAGCCGGGGGCCGATCCGCCGAACAAGTTCAGCGGCCCAACCGAAGCGCTTGCTGCTCAGCTCAGTCCCACCGACCTTCATCGAGTTTCCACGTCAGGAAATTCGCCAGGACGAAATCGGGGCTTTCCCCAAAGGCTCGAGAAGCCGAGTCCGCGGCAGTTCCACTCGGTGTCTGCCCCTATCCCCCCTTTGGAATCATCCGGGAGGTAGCCAGGGGGGACCGTTGAGTGAAAGCGCTGGGGTTCCAGGGAAAGAAAGGGACTGGCGGCCCCAGATCCCGTCGGGAAGCTGGTGGCGGACGAAGTCACCAAGGCCTTTTTACTCGCTGTGGGTTGGGAAGGCTGAACTTTTCTTCCCAGGGAGCAGAGATACACAGGCCCGCCCGCGCAGCCCGTGCCCAGGGTCCCAGCTGTTCTTTGGACACCACCTGTTCTTTCGAGAGCTGTCCGGGTGTCGATTGCCCGACCGAGATATTTGAGTTTTTTTTTCATTTATTCATTCCCCCCCCCCCCGACCCAATTTAGGAACGAAGCCCCGAGCCCACCTCGAAGGTTTCCCAAAGGAAAGGGAAGGGTTTTTACACTTCTGTCCTTTCCGCCCTGGGAGAATAACCAATCTCTCCCCCGGGCCCTGCAGTAGGTCTTGGGGCATGTTTGGGGGACGGGGCTGGAGGGAAGAAACCAAACCAGGCGCCATTTTAAACCAGGGGCTCGTAAGGTGACTTTCCCCCCATTTAGAGCGACTTTCTACAAGGTCCTTCTGGGCCTGATCGCCCGCTTCGCATTCATCTTTCTCTCTCACACTGTCTTTGTGCAGGGGGGCGGGGGTAGTGATTGAAACTCACGTTTACTCAGCGGAGGGCAAAAGCGGAGTGGAAACCACTTCATCCAATTCCAAAACACCCGGCGTGCTTAACGGTTGTATGGAGGTTTCATACCACTATATTACAACCCAGGCGATCTATGATTAACTTAAACTTTACTAGATAAACCTAACAGTGAGTGAAGCATGTAACTCGTTGAAAGTTTGGCCCTTGACCTCGGCATTGCTTTTAGATACAGGGGTGCACCGTCAACCTTTGCATTATCTGGTCACCAGACCAAATATGTATCAGGCAGAGAGGGGGGAGTGGAAAGAGTGTGGGGCATTTAGGCTTTATTAGATCACGTTGGTCTAATAGATCACATTTAGTAGACATTTTCTTTTGTTTTATTATTTTCTTTTCTTTTACCCTTTAAAAACAACACAAATCTAAATTTTAATACCAAGCAGTCACCTTTAAGGCCACCTGGTGTTTAATTTCTGACTAAATCCTTGGTCTTTAATCCAAACATAGTAGAACAACTGTAGAATGGAAGGTTTCTTATTGCTCCTGATTTACAGAGCAACCTCCTTCTATGCTGGAAAGGGAACCTGGCCAGCTCTTGTTCTCCACTCCTCTCTCTCATGCCACTGGCCGCTTCTACATCTGGAGATCAACTCTAGCAGCCAACTCTAGAAATCTGCTGAGCCTCCTTCTTCAACCTCAGAGCCTAAAATGCCCCCTGCCTTCAGCTTCTTCCTTATGCCCAGGAACAGCTTCTGTCCTCAACCCAGCAAGAAGCCAGGTGACTCTTGTTTCCTCTTAAGTGCAAAAGCTGGTTGGTGGGGGGAACTTAGACAATGCCTAGCCCTCTGCAGAATTAAAGGGACTAAGTGGGTGATCTGACAGTTTGGAGGGGAGCTTTCGGATAGATTGAAAGATGACCCTGACCCGGCTGAGAAAATGTACCAAAAGCCAAAAAGCACCTTATATCGGCACTCATGGTTTAGGTATGATGCTTCGGTGATGCCAGGATAGTTCTGCCTTTTTCACTAGTGTGCAGTGATCGGTGGGGTGTCTTTCCTTGGAGTTTTCAGTTGGGAGGGGCTGATCTAGACATATCACAATAGGAGTCTTTTGTTAGGAGGTATGCCGTTATTTTATTTCAATTAATGCACACATTTCATTCCAAGGTCACTCATTTCCCTTATTGTGTTCTGTGCTATATAGAAGGGTTTTAACTGGCTACGCTGTGCCAAATCCTCCTTGTCTTCCAGGAGTCCCAAGTCGGAGGATGTGAACAAAGCCAAATATAACCCTATCTAAAAACCAGATATCTCGGATAATCAGATTAATCTTATTTAGGATATCAGTCTCAAATAATCAAATAATAACCAATTTCTCCTTATAGGTGGGTCCCAAGGCCGGATTTCTCGGAAGAGAAAGCTGGAGGGAAAGGAGAAATGGTGGATCATTCTTACACCCAAGTAGGAATGAACAAATTTTGCAGCTTTAAATTCATGGCATCCTTTTAACATCTATGTATGATGTAATTCACAGCTATAAAGGGAGAATAAAGGATGCAACCCAGATTTGAATGCTAACAAGGGGTGGTAAACCACGCTCTTCCAAATACTGTACATCTACAGGAGAAAATCCAAACCAGATAAAGAGCAATAGGAGGGGCCTCTCTGTCCTAAAAAGCTCAAATGGCTACATTTTCCTACTAAATCATTCTCCTTGGTGCCAGCCAAATTTGCTCTGACTTGTTTGGAGCAATATGTGCTTTCAAAAGCCTGGCCCTAATTTTACATGGGAGGAAATTTTCTTGTCTGAAATCTGCATCCTGGAGCCCCAAAAAGTGGTTTGTCCCGGGAAAACTGATTTTCTACTAAAAGATTCAGTAGGGATAACCTAACCTACTGTAACCTTGAGATGGAGGAGGTTTTCACGGGTACCTGGACTGCAAAAAGGGCTGTGAAAATGTCACCCTTCCTCACTGCCTAACCATTTACGTATAAATGCACTAGTAATTGTAGCTAATATCCCAAACCAGGAGGAGGATTGTTGGCATCTTTCCCTGAGTAGCAAAGTTCTCCTCCTAGACTTGTGAACCTTTACCCAACAATCACATTAACCTGCTGCTCCAAGAAGATGTCAACAACCAACTTTTCAAAGCAACTCTCCTCCTCCTTTGTTTTGCAGTCCAAATTTGGGCTTGTGGCCCAGCTGAGAATGGATTAAGTAAACAGATTTTCATGGGGTTCCTTTGAATATTGCAGACAGAACCAAGACGTGTGTGTGTGTGTGTGTGTGTGTGTGTGTGTGTGTNAACTTTTTTTTCCACTTTTTTTTTAAAAAATAAAATTTTTATTTTTTTAAACAAACATAAACACGCAAAACATATAACATAAAAAACTCCCCCCCCCCAATTTTTAAAGCATTTTTTTCCTGCCGGTTCAGGCAAATAGGCAGGGGGGGAAATGCTTTAAAAAGCGGGGGATTGTGGTGGGGGGAGCCAGTTTTACTACCAGTTTGCAGAACCAGGGACAATCGTCCCTACCGGTTTGGCTGAACTGGGCCGAACCGGGCAGATTTTCACCCCTGCTTTCAGGGCAGGTACGTGAATCCCACCGCTGGCTTGCTTCCTCTGTCGGACTTCAGAAGTCAGAAGAACTTGTAAAATGGTCGAAAGTGGCTGTTGGCTCGGAAGGCAACGAAACCCTAACAAGAAGCATTTGCCGTTAATGGCTCTGCTACCTGAACAGAGCAGGAACCGAGAAGTGGGCGATTCCCATAAGTTAGTGCTTTCTCCCAGTTTGTTAATATTCATCACTAATGCATCGATTTGGATATATACAAATTGTACATTAAAGAGCGCCTTGTCAAGCACTTAAGGGGGGCCCTTTTGCCTTGGATTGAGATCGCAATACAGTCCTGCAAAAAGAAAAAAATATAGCCAAACACTAATGCAAAAACAACAACAACAACAAATGCACTGCTGAGCAATTAAAGACCGGCTTCCCAAGTTCACTTGTCAGCAACCTGGGGAAGACGTGGTGCCCTTGAATTTAGCCTCAGGGATGAGAAGAATACGGAAGACGGCTATCAGCCTTAGACCTCCTCTTCGTTGGACTAGTCCAGGGGCGTCAAACTCAAGGGCCGTGGGTCAGATCTGGGGCACAGGGTTCTTAGAACTGGCCCGTAGGACCACCCTGGTGGTGTTGTGGCCCGCCAGGAGCCAGCAGAGCTGGCAGCAGAGTCGGACAGTGAGGAGGTTGGGGAGGAAGGTGGGACAGTCCTGGAGTCTGGGGAAGGCTCTAATGAGGGCTCTGCGTCGGAAGAAGAGCCCTCTGGCCTGCGGGCTGGGAGTTTAGACACTCTGCTTCCTCTCCCCACCTGAAAAATGCTCTGGTGCTAAGGAGTTAGACGTTCTACTTCCTCTCCTCACCTGAAAGGGAGAGAAGGGGATAACCTACGAGAGGCTTCTGTGGGGCAAGTCTGAGGAAGAGAAGGGGAGAGGAGAGGATCAATGGGGCCAGCCTGAAGGAGAGAAGGGGATAGGGGAGGATCAGTGGGGCCAGACTGAGGGAGAGAAGGGGATAAGAGAGGATCAATGGGGCCAGCCTGGGGGAGAGAAGGGGATAGGGGAGGATCAATGGGGCCAGCCTGAGGGAGAGAAGGGGAGAGGAGAGGATCAATGGGGCCAGTCTGAGGGAGAGAAAGGGATAGGAGAGGATCAATGGGGCCAGCCTGAGGGAGAGAAGGGGATAGGAGAGGATCAGTTGGGCCAGCCTGGGGGAGACAAGGGGATTGGGGAGGATCAATGGGGCCAACCTGAGGGAGAGAAAGGGATAGGAGAGGATCACGGGGACNGAGCAGACAATCCTGCTGGACTTCCTGGTCCTAAATACATTGTTTAGATGCATTGAGTGCACGCTTTTATAGCCCAGCGTCATGGTGGCTTAGAGGTGAAGACGCTCGTCTCCCACTCAGAAGATTGAGAGCTCAATCCTAGGCGGCGATAGATGTTTCTCTATCAGGGTGTCAAGAGAAGATAATCTGCTGCAAACTCTGCGTAGGCATCAGGAAGGGCATCCGGCCAGTAAATGCTCATTTCCAAATAGATGATTCTCCATCAGGCCGCAAAGAGAAAATATTTGCTATGAACTCTGTGTAGGCATCTGGAAGGGCATCGGGCCAGTAAATGCTCATCTCCAAATAGATGATTCTCTATCAGAGCGCAAAGGGAAAATATTTGCTATGAACTCTGTGTAGGCATCAGGAAGGGCATCCGGCCAGTAAATGCTCATCTCCAAATAGATGTTTCTCCATCAGGGTGCAAAGAGAAAATATTTCCTATGAACTTTGTGTAGGCATCAGGAAGGTCATCTGGCCAGTAAATGCTTATCTGCAAACAGATGTATCTCTACCAGGGCGCAAGAAGAAAATATCTGTTGCGAGCTCCCTGTAGGTGTCAGGAAGGGCAGTAAAGTACTCAGCTCCCCTCAGTTGCCTTGACTCTACCCCGAATAAAGGAATTACAGGTCGTAAAAGGGAAAACAAAAGAAAACAAGGCCTGCTTACAGCTCTTACTACTCTCTCTTCCCTGCAGATCACGGAGGTGCAAGGTGTCGGCACGTAAAATTGGCTTGCAGAAGCTATGGGAATGGTGCATCGGGATCATCCAGATGACGTCCCTTCCCTGGAGAGTCGTGATTGGGCGCCTTGGCCGGCTTGGCCACGGGGAACTGAAAGGTACCTGGGCTACTATAAGGCCTTTAGCTATAGCCCTTAGACTTATATACCGCTTCATGGTGTTTTACAGCCCTCTCTAAGCAGTTTTACGGAGTCAGCTTATTGCCCCCCACATTCTGGGTCCTTCCAACCTTGGAAGGATGGAAGGCTGAGTCAACCTTGAGCTGGCAAGGTTCGAACTGTTGGCAGTCGGCAGAATTAGCCTCGAATACTGCCTTGTAAC